TTTAAGGCATGTGGACTTCAACTCCCAGAATTCCACAGCCAGCTGTAAAGCTATAACGTTTTGTGCCCATGTTCCATTTTCCTAGCTCAAGGAACAGAAGGGAAATGTTTTCTTCGCTTTTTAATTGTCTGCATTTTGCTGCTATGCTCAGTTGGAAGCTGTGATTAGACTTGAAAAGGACTTGTCTATTATATATTTTCTTTGATCTACCATGATATGTGAGCTCCACCTCTTACAGTTTAATGGAGCAAACCATGGTTCAGAAATGCTAGTTTAATGTTATGGATAAATGTTATTGTCAAGGCAAGAACATTCGAGCAAAGCAAGAACAATGCCTCGAAGTTCTTTGAAGAATTTCATATGTCGGAACCATAACAGTTATCTTTCTGCATTTCTGTTTGGTGTTAATGCTTTTGTTATTAAACCTAAGTTACTCAAAATGAAATGAAAGCTTCCAATCACTTCCTCATGTTGGCTGGAAAAAAAATAAAGAGAAAGGCAATATATGAACTCATGTCTGAAAAACATAGTATAGAAGTTTGGTTTTTTTAAAAAATATATTTTATTGGTTTTTAACAATAACAATTTCCAGTGCCTGGTGTACAGTGTGTTGCCTTGGTTTATATATTTGAGAAAGAAAAAAAGGCAATAATAATTAATTAACAGTCAATAATGATTAAATTTGATAATTCCATAATTAGTATATTAATTCATAATATATTTCTTTGATCTTCCCTTCTCCCATTTGTATTCTTCTTCAACAAACAAATATAATTCTTAATATTTTCAATATATAAATGATTAAATATAGACATTTTTTCATATTTATACAGATAGTGATAACATCTATGTATAACATTTTTATTGGCTTATATTATTATTATAACCATCATTTCATTAGTTCACCATGCATCCTATTTTCGTGATTTTTGTTTCAGCTTAATTTCCCCTTTTATTCAATCCATTCTTATCAGTCATGATTTTCTCTATGTTAGACATCCAAATATCCAAATTTTTCCATTGAGGTACACCATCCCATTTTTTTCATATTTCATGTATTATAAAAATACTATGTTTGTTATCTATTTTATAACATCTGGGTATAACATCCTTTCTGATCAGCTTATATTTCACTTACATTTATAAAAATTATATCATCCCAATATTTTTACATTTCATATATTGTAAAACATACTATATTACTTAAATCTCTTATTTCCCCTTGTTATAGGGCCCCTTTATGTTCAAAGTTCTCTATTCTTTTAACCATATTCAAACAAGTGTTTACTCATGTAATACTCCATCTGGTAGGGCGTGTTGAATCTGTCTCTAGCCTTCTTTTGCCGAAAAGCTTTCCAAGTTGATATATTCTGCTTACCCGGCAGTTCCTGTGTTTTTGCAAGTATTGTTGGGAATACAGAAGACAGAATTAGGTAGGATATATACTTTCTGTCTCCCAAACTCTAATGATTCTCTTGGGAATTCTATAGTCCACTCCATTTTTATTGTTATATCAAAGTCTTGTAGACTTTTTCTTGTTTGTGTTGGATTGTAATTCTTTCCATTTGTAGCTTCGTCTATATGATCATGTTCTTCTGATCTGTATTCTGTTATCTGATTTGTTTGTTCATTCGCCGTCATTTTCTGAATGTTTTTTGATTGTAGATTTAGATTGGAGATGTCTTTATTTATGTTGTCAAAGTTGTTCTGAATTTCCTCGTGGTTGAAATCCATTGTCATTTGTATCTGTCATAACTGCGTACATTTCCTCTTGGAAAGTATTTGTCTTGCCTTGAAATATTGCTTCTGAGGGTCTTTGATGTTCCAGGCTAAATCCTTCAGGAGTGAATATTGAGTGTGGTGTCCTGTCATTTTTTGATAAGTGTACGATATCCATGTTGTCTCCCTCCTTCAAATAGTCTTTCATCAATATTTTAATTCAAGGGTTTATTATCAATCAATCAAAATTGAAATTCAGTATGTTAAGCCATCTTAAGTCCTTCCTATAGATTCTCCTCTAAAAGATTAGCCAAGAGCCAAAGTTTTTCTTTTTCTCTAAACAATTCTTAAATTTAGTCAAAAGTCCAGGTATTTTTCTTTCAGACATTTTTTAATCTTATGGCTGGGCCAGCTCTTCTTTGTTCCCAGCTGTCTACAAGGTTATTTAAAATGTAAGGGAACAGATTATTCTTCATTTCTGGGTATCTTGCCAGTTTCTGATTCACTATTGTTGATGTTCTGTGCTCTGATTCTCCACTAAATGTGAATAGTTGTTCATTTTTTAGTTTTTTGCAGACAAAAAATTATTATTATATATTTTTTATAATTTCATTAAAACCGTTTTAGATGTAGTCTTAGCAGTTTTTTTTAGTTTCTAGATTTGTCCAGACTGTAGTATTTTAAATTTAATTTCAGTCTATTTCTTTCCCCCTTAGAATTAATTTGCTGCTTCCATCTATGAGGGAATGGGGATATAATCCCCTCCCTTCATTTTTGGAGGTTTTCTTTCTTTGGGGGGCTTTCCCAAGATTCAGTTAATAGACAGAAGAGAGAAGATCGATATTCTCATCAGTTCCAAGCATGCTGTTCACCAATGTTCTTGTTCGTGCTCTTGGACTTCGGCTGCAAATAGCTTGGGCTAGACCAATGGCTCCCAACCTTTTCTATACCCCGCACTCGTAGAACACTTCTGATATATTCTTGTACCCGTTACAACGAATTATGCATATACACTATAATTTTAAAAACCCAAATTTTCGCACCCCCTGGAATATCGTCTCGCACCCTGGTTGGGAACCCTGGGCTGGATGCTGATATGCTAGCCTTTCTCCTGTCGAGTCGGAGGGCTTCCCCCGATCGAACAAAATGACTGCCGTTGTTTCGTGATCCACACAGCGCCCCTCCTTCACGGTTACCTCTTCGGGGCAACTTCAGACCTATTTAGGGTCCCCCTGGCAGGACGAAACTGGCCGCAGGGAGCAGAGCTTTGCTATCCCCCAGCCATGCACTATGGTGCAAAACCAGAAGTCAGTATTGAACTTTGTTTTATTATAGGGCAGTGGTGGCGAACCTATGGCACGGGTGCCAGAGGCAGCACTCAGAGCCCTCTCTGTGGGCACGCACGCCATTGCCCCAGTCCTAGGTCTTCAGCTGGGTTTTATAAAACCTTTTTGCTTTAGGCCTCTGCCGCCATGTGCAAAAAAAAAAAGGTTCAATCAGTCAGTTTCAACTTCTCGCGGAAAAAAAATAGATCTTGCAAAGTTGGGATTGATTGAACTTTTTAGTCCCACCCAGTCTGCCGTTACCACCGCAGCCACGCCCACCCAATTGGCCATGCCCACCCAATTGGCCACACCCAGCCAATGGGCCACACCCACCTGGCACTCGACGATGCATAAGTGGGTTTTGGGTAGCAGTTTGGGCACTCAGTCTCTAAAAGATTCGCCATAACTGTTATAGGGATAGGAAACTATGAGGTAACTAGAGCAGAATTCCCTAACATTTTCGGCTTTGCAGACCCGGGGGGGGGGAATGGTACCGTGCAAGTGGGCAACAAGTGTGTGCGCATAGCTCCATTTATGGGAATGGCAGGCCCACATGTGCACCCGCTGCTTATGCAAGTGGGGATGCGCTCGCCAGTCTCTTCTGTGGCCCAGTTCCAAATGGCTCACAGCCCAGTTATGGTCTGCAGCCTGGGGATTGAGGACCTGTCAACTAGAATATGTAGAGCATATCAAACTTTCGGCCTAAGGGCTGGATGCATCACCAGGAAACCGCATCCACCCCATTGCCGCAATGGAGAAAAAGCTCTGATACGTTGCGCGACATCACGTGACATCGCGAGTTTGATATGTCTGATGTAGAGTGACAATTGCACCACATTTCCTTGTGCAAAGAAAGCCAGTGTAGGCACCTGTTTAGCAGATATAAACTATGGTGCAGTGAAGGAAGCCTAATGAAAAGGTGGGGCTTCCATCTCTCTGCAGACACAGAATTATACAAATAGATACAATCAAATTTGCATATAGTTGATGCAGGTTGCAGAACTGAACATTGCTAGGTGCTGTGTACCTGTTTCCTGCAGGTATCTGATCTCCAAATAAATTACATTTATTTTGTCTGTATTTTTCCAGATTTTAAGAAAAAGATACATTTCAAAGTTATTCGAAACCCCGGGGAGTTGGTGCAGTTTATTCAGGAGATGAAGGCGAATGCCCAGAAGGTAAGGCTTTTTAGTTGGATTTCCTAAACAGACTCAGTTTACTATATGACAAAAATCTCTTTTGCCCATGTACTACACTGAGCAATCTTCCCCATCTTGGTGCTCTGCTGATGGTTTGGATTTTAATTTCTATAAGTCTCAGACAGTAGGATACTGGCCATTCATAGATTCACATTCACACCAATGCACATAGAAAGAGGGAGGGGGAGTTTACAATATTTTGTAAAATGTTACCCTGTGGTAAGATGGGCAGCCAATTAATTTAATAAACAAACAAATGAATAAATAAATAAATAAATATTTTGTAATTGGCCTTGTTTCCCCAGAACAGCTGATTTGTATACCCAAGATCCTTTCTGAATGTGCCCACCAACCCACAATGCCTGGAAGCCCTTTTTCCACCTTTTATATGATCGTGGCTCTAAAAGCATTTTAACTTGAGCTGACAGTTAGACTGAGTGGGTTGACCAGATGCTGCCTCTTCCCCCATTGCAGTTTCTGAACTCCCCCATGTCCCTTTAGGGCAAAGAGAAGGCTGGTGAATCTGAAGACACGATGCAAGAAAGCTCACCCAAAATTAAGGCAGACCCAGAAGCAGGACACCCTGAAGATGGAGCTCAGGAGAATGAAGAAGATGAAGAAGATCTACTAGGGAAATTTGAGAAGGAATTGGAAGACATTCTGCTACCTAAGTCTGAAATGGCCAAGCTGAAGGAAGAAGTGAAAACTGAAATGGAGAAGGAGTTTGACAACATCATTGATGAGGTCAGGATCTTTTGGACTAGCTCCATTTTTCAGTCCAACCTTCTGATCTCTCCCTCCCAAAAGAGTGATGGGACCATTACTAATTCTTGCATTCTCATTTCCTTCCCTACCACATAAAAAGAAATCCTAGGTTGGGCAGGAGAGAGGGTTTCAAGGAGAAGATTGCAGAGGAAAGGCAAAAAAAGATTCTATAAAATATTGAATGAATTCAAGATTGTCCAGTAAAATGCACCCTTCACATAGTAGCAAGCTTCCCAGAGCCCTACATATCCTCTACATTGCCTGAGGGAAAAGAGTAGGTCCCATTCTTTCTGTATCTTTCTGTTTGCTTGCTTGTTTCCCTCTAATTCGGGGGGGGGGGAGTTCAGAGCCTTCTCAGTTGAGATTGGCTTATGACATGGTTTTCAACCCTGACTGTGGGGGATTTTAAATATTATGATGAGAACTGCACGCATAAAGCCTCATTGCATCTGTTATCTCTTCAATAGATTAAGGGTCTTCATGAGCTTACAGCAGGAAGGGTAGCAAGCATTGTACTTCTTGTATACATTGCACTTCTTGTACCTTTCCCTCCTTACCTCTAAATAGATGCTGGGTAACGGTATAATCCCATTCCACATTTTTTTCCCCTTCTCCCACACTCTTGCGATGTATTTTAAAAGGGGATGTGTATCATCACAGTCTCTAAAAATGTCCTTTAAATTGCTTCATGAATCCGTGGTTTGCGTTGAATTGCCAAAAACCTGTTGAAGAAACAAACAAGTATAGGTAGTCCTTACAACAGTTCATTTAGTGAAGTTACAACATCATTGAAAAAAGTGATTTCTGACTTGTGATCATTTTCCACACTTAATAACTGTTACGGCAACCCCATGGTCATATGATCAAAATTCGGATGCTGGGCTATTGATTTATCTTTATGACAGTTGCAGTGTCCCGGGGCTGGGTGATCACCTTTTGCAACCTTCTGACAAGCAAAGTTAATGGGGAAGCCAGATCCACTTCCCAGCTGTGTTAATTTAACAAGTGCAGTGATTCACTTAACTGTGGCAAGAAGGGTCTTTGCTAATGGGGCAAAACTCACTTAGCAACTGTCTTGCTTAGCAACATAAATTTTGGGCTCCATTATGCATCAGATTCTGTTCTGATACTTCTGAAGAACTCTGATCTAGTAATCCGTTATTGCTTACCAGGTTGAGGACGAACTGGGAACAAAAAGCCTGAAAGGTGAGTTTGACCGAAAACAAGCCTCCAAGTCTTTGGCTTCTACCCTCAATAAACTCATTGACAAGCTGGATCCTGGCCAAGCCCCACAAGAAGAAGAAAAGGTTCAAAAGCAGCAGCAGCAGCAGCAGCAGGAGGCGGAGGAGGAACGGGAGGAGGCAGTCGTGGAAAGCAATAGTGCTAAAGAAAACCCACCAAAGCCAACTCCTGGTATGATCCAGAAGCAACAAAATCAATGTTATCTTGAGTGTTGATAATTTGGATAATGTTTTTGAATCAACCAGCAGGGGGCAATATCTGCCCTAAACGGCACCAAGGGATGGCTTCCTTGGAGCTGATCAAAGATCAAGGTAAGGTAGCTAAAAATCCTCCTAATAGTTTCATTTGATTGGCAAGGGTATCCTGCTCGACCACCTCTGCTGGATTGGAGCTGGGTGGCACTGCTTTGCAGTAGTTCTCCTTCCTGGCGGATAGTTCCAGCTGGCGGTGGGGAGAAAGATCTGCCCAGAGACCTCTATATTGTGAAGTGCTTCTGGGCTCTCTTCACTTCTTTGTAGCACCTAACGAAACTGCTGGAGGTAGCTATACATTTGCACAGGTCTAGAATCATCAGTATGTTGATATATATCAGCTATACATCTCGGCTTGGGCCAGGCGAATAATGCGTTAGTGTTTCCATCCCAGGCTTTGGAGGCCATCAGGGTAAGATGGAGAAGAAGAGGCATCTCTTCAAGACAAAGGCTTTTATTTATAGGTCAAAGATTCCAGGGAAATATCATCTTTGACTCTCAATGGAATAATATTCACATTTCTAAAACAACTTTTTATTAAAAAATTTTTAATGCAGAATAAAAACTAGCAAGAACTAATTATTAAGAATGAAAAAAGAGGAAAAATTAAAGAAGTAAAGCACAAAGCAAAGGTGCAGAAATCAAAATGATAAAGAAATGACTTCTGATTTTCTTGTACAGCAGTTACAAATATAAAATAACCTTTTACTCGGTGCTTGCAGCATTGTGTACATTCTCTCTGCAGTCTATTGCTTTTATTCTAATCCATATATTATACCATCATTTTTTCTGTTTCCTGCAAAAAGCCAATAAGGGGTTTTCAATCATCATTAAATTTAGACAGTGTCATATCTCTAATTGAAGCAGTCAATTTGGCCATCTCCGCAAGTTCCAACATCTTCACTATCCATTCCTCCACTGTGGATGAAGTCAAATCTTTCCATCTTTGTGCATATAATAATCTTGCTGCAGACATCATATATAAAAACAAAGCTCCATATTTTTTTTCCGGCTGCTTATCCACTAATTCCAAATGTAAACTCTCTGGTTTCAACTGTAAACAAGTCTTTAAAATCTTTTGTGCTATTGTTGCTACAAAATTTTCAGACTTGTTACACATCCACCAAGCTTGATAAAATGTACCTTTTTGTTGGTGACATTTCCAGCCTAAGTTTGAAGAGACTGTATACATTGTATACATTCTACCCTGCTTTTCCAGTGTTATGTATCAATGATATATCATTTTATAAAATTCATTTTAAAACTATAACATAGGATAAATTTCTGTCCTTTCAACTAGGTATTTTCCCACTGATACCTGTGTCTGTTATAACCAAAGTGTTTAGCTCATTTTACCATAATTATTTCACCTTCTGTTTCATATTCAATTAAAATTTATACATTTTAGCAATAATATGAGTATCATTTTATACCCTTCCGTTTCAAATTCAGCTTTACATTGTTCAAAACCAACAGTTCTTTTATCTACTTTTAATCTTCCTAATAATTGTACATACCAAAATCATCGGCATGAATAACTCTCTACCACTAGTTCTTCTCTTATTTTTATACTACATTTTCCTTGGCAATATTCTAATATATCAAGTAAGACAATTTATGTTTAATAATCATTTCTCTTCTATAAAATGTTTCCTGTTGTGTCAGCCACAAAGGTATTTTGGGACATAGCTTAAGTTTATATCTGTTCAATATTCTCAATATGGCATGTCTAACAAAATGTTTTTTAAAATCTACATTAACCTTAGCTTTACTATACCATAAATATCCATGCCACCCAAATGTTAAGTCATGCCCTACTAACTCTAAAGGCCTCCTGTTTGTTAGTACACCCATTCTTTCATCCTGACTAAACAGCAGGCTGCCAAATAATAATTTCAAATCAGCTAAGCCCAATCCTCCTCTTTCTTTTGTTTCTTGAAACACTAAATAACAATATTGATCTACAATTTCTTGTCAAAATCAAATCTTGTCCTTCTTGGGGTATTAATTATATATGCAGTGTGTGTGTGTGTGTGTGTGTGTGTGTGTGTGTGTATACATTATAAATATTTATATTATATATAAATAGTATGCCCTCATTCAGAGGTGGTTCTTAGCTGCAGCTAGGCGTGCTTCTATAGTTACAATATTTGTGCCAGTTGTGACCATTTGGAAGATTTGCTCAAAATCAATCATTCTGTAGTCATCTCCTGTGTGGATTATTGTAATGCATTTAAATGGGGCTGCCTTCAGAAACCACACCAGGTACAAAATGCAGTGGCTTGCACAATGGTGAGTGTATCCCGATACCCCAATGTTTCAGGAATTGTGTTGGTTATCACTTGGCTTCCGGAGACGATCCACTTACTATTTTTAAGTCCCTACGTGGCTCCAGACCCAATTCTCTGAGGGAATATTTTTCCACAAATTCATCTGCCTGTCCAGTCAGATTGAATACAGGTCCATTCCCTCCATGTCCTCTCTGTAGGAGATGGTCATTTGATGGGGCCTTGGAAGCAAGTATTTGCCACCCCCATAGATCCTTCCCATGGAAGATCTGCTCCTTTCTTCCTGAATTTCAGGAGAGCAATTAAGATCTAGTTGTTTAATCTAGCACAGGAGAAGATCTATGGCTATATCATTTGCCCATTTTGTTTGTATTAAGATGGGTTTATTATTTCTTAAACATTAGTCCAGATTTGAGTAAGGGAGAGCATGATAGTTGTGGGAACCAAGATTCATATGGATGAGAGCGTGCAATGAAGTATTGTATCAACTCCCTCAGAAATTGCTTTCTTTAAAACACTGTTAATGGCTTGCTTCTTTTCCGTTCCAAGAGGTATAATTTTTTGCTTTAAAATTATTTTGACCTTTGTTCATGGTAAATGTTCTCTATATTTGTCTTTTTCAAAAACTGCTCTTGAGCTTGATTTTGGCTTGGCTATGCATAAATGCTTCTATTTTGGCTTTCTTTCTCCAGCATTTTGTTCCTTCTAATCAGGGACAAGGCAGCTCAATGAAATTTGGGTCACCCAGGTCAATGTTCCTATTTTCTTTTTCTTTTCTTTTTAATATTCTATAATGTAGACATCTAAAAACCTTGAGAGCAAGAATATATTTTTGGTTCTTAAGCTGGGTTTTGCAATTCAGCAATGCTGTTGACTTGGCATTTGTCCAGAATCCCTGGCTTCTCAACTCTGTTATTATGATCTGTATGACTTCTGAACTATCAGCGCAATGCAGCCTATCTGGTAGAGTCTGCAGTCTTTCTAGTGTTTTAAGAGCCAAGGCAGATTTTCATATTCTTGGGCAGGGAGTAGAACTAAGAGGTTTATGAGCTCTGAATAATATATTACTAGGGAATTGCATTCAGTTTTAATGGTCAGAAGTGGTATTGTCTTGGTCAGCTGGCCAGCCTCCTGGGACTTCTTGCCTTCCTTTTCCTCTGCTGTCTAAAAACCTTCTGCTTTTGCAAAAGTGTTGAAATGCTTTGAAGGCCTCAGTCTTCTGCTCAAACGCATTATGTAAACAACAACAACAACAATAATAATAATAATAACAATCTGCCTATCCCAGGTCCTGGGTAAGGACTTGATAGGTAGACAAAATGCCAAATCCAGTCTGAACATCTGGCTGACTGTGCGATGATCCATAATAATAATAATTTATTAAGGTGTAACTAAATTGGCACGTGGGAGCTTTGTACCATTCATTGCATTTGTATTTTGTAAGCTGCCCAGAGTCTACTGGAGCTACTGGGTGGCTAGAATATCATTATTTTATGGACAGACTGTACACAGCCTTGCTTAGTGGGCACCTGGCAGTTTTGCACTTCCCTGTCAGAAATGCTGGCAGACTGACATGCCTCTGTCCCCCTTTTTACCTCAGATGGCGACCCAGATGGGCGCGTGAATGTCAGGGTCACTAAAGTAAAGCCAGGTGGTACTCAGCAGAAGGAGCTGCGAGTCCAAGAGATGAGCAGGGACAACCCACAGCTGCGCCACATAGAGAGTGTGGTTAAGGACCTCTTGGAGAAGGAAGGCCTGAAGGCAGAAGGTAATGCAGTCATGCTCCCTGGGGTGGGGTGGAGGGTCATAATAGAAGTCCGTGTTTAGGCTGGGGGTGGAGGTTATCTGATTTGTCAGGGGCTTTTCTAGGACAGAGTGGTCAAGGGCACGAGGTTGCCAGGGGTTTGGAATTGCAAGCTGCGCAATTTCATGGACATCTGA